ATCGATAAGATCAAATGTCATGTTTTGAGGTCATTTCAAAGTCAAAAGGAACTTGTACGTGTATTCATGCGAAAATCGTATCTGTATACGGGGATTTCTAAATTATCTTCTACACTTAGCATTACCCAGAGACAACGACGTGGACGTGGTAGAATTCTGCCTCTTTCGGGGTGCTTGTTTAGAGTGAGTCCCCTTGCCTCTCACTATGCATACTTTGCTATTGTTAATCTAGCTATTCAAAAGGTTTTGAATAGCGAAAGTTGCACCGTTAGCATTTATACAATAATTGAGCCTTCTTTGGAAATGGGCCACTGTGCTGAGCAAGATATTTCGTGGAATCGCTTCGTCTTATGCGATTTTCCATATCTTCTCTTGTTGTTGGTTCTTCTTTGAAAACAACTTCTTTCAAATAGCCCCAGAGATAAAAATCGAGTGACGTCAAATCAGGAGAACGAGGAGGCCATGCAATCGGACCCTCTCGACCAATCCATCGGTTCGGGTACCTTTCATCTAAAAACCTCCTGACTATACGTGCAAAGTGCGGTGGTGCACCATCCTGTTGGAAGAACATCCTTCTCCTGGTTTCCAAGTCTACGTTCTCCAACAAATGAGGCAATTGGTCTGTGAGCAAATCGAGGTACGTATTTGCATTCACAGTACGTTCGAAAAAGAATGGACCGACCAAGTATCCATTAACAATCCCGCACCAGACATTGAGGCTCCAGCGGTGTTGATTGTTAATGGATACTTGGTCAGTCCATTCTTTTTCGAACGTACTGTGAATGCAAATACGTACCTCGATTTGCTCACAGACCAATTGCCTCATTTGTTGGAGAACGTAGACTTGGAAACCAGGCGAAGGATGTTCTTCCAACAGGATGGTGCACCACCGCACTTTGCACGTATAGTCAGGAGGTTTTTAGATGAAAAGTACCCGAACCGATGGATTGGTCGAGAGGGTCCGATTGCATGGCCTCCTCGTTCTCCTGATTTGACGTCACTCGATTTTTATCTCTGGGGCTATTTGAAAGAAGTTGTTTTCAAAGAAGAACCAACAACAAGAGAAGATATGGAAAATCGCATAAGACGAAGCGATTCCACGAAATATCTTGCTCAGCACAGTGGCCCATTTCCAAAGAAGGCTCAATTATTGTATAAATGCTAACGGTGCAACTTTCGCTATTCAAAACCTTTTGAATAGCTAGATTAACAATAGCAAAGTATGCATAGTGAGAGGCAAGGGGACTCACTCTAAACAAGCACCCCGAAAGAGGCAGAATTCTACCACGTCCACGTCGTTGTCTCTGGGTAATGCTAAGTGTAGAAGATAATTTAGAAATCCCCGTATACAGATACGATTTTCGCATGAATACACGTACAAGTTCCTTTTGACTTTGAAATGACCTCAAAACATGACATTTGATCTTATCGATCATACCATATCCTATTCTAAAATTTCCCGCTCTTTCCAAATCCGGGGTCGAAAATAGGCAATTCCATTTAAAAAATGTTATTTGACCTTCAAATAACCCCTAAGGTCAAAGTCAAGGTCAAATCCAAGGATATGGTCATACGTCCCCCTCCTTGTCCAACAACTTTTGTATGAAACTTTTTTCATTATTTCGCTCACCGGTCGAGTTATTCTCCATTAAAGGTTAAAATGGTCCACCCTGTATATCTCCACGAATTCCTTGTTCTGAGTTATAGAATACTTTGTATATGTGTGTGCGTGTGTGTGTCCAGTACTGTGTATACGTATATACAGGGTATTATAAAAGTCCCGGAAAAGCAGAATAACTCGAAAAATAATAGAAAAAGTGCGAAGTACTGGGTTTTTATGATTTTTTCCTGGCTATATGACGATGACCTTAGTTTGACCTTGACAATGACCTTGAAGGTCATTTCAAGGTCAGGTCTTTTTTTTAACGGAACCCCATACTTTTGACCCCAGACATGAAAAGAGCGGAAAATTTTACGTTCGGATATGACCTTAAACACTGCCAAATTTGACCTCTGAAGGTCACATAAAGATCTAAGCTTGTGTTACGTCCTGGAGCAGGAACGCAACTTGACGCTTGCTTTCGTAAGCTCCGACGTACTCGCAAATCTGCGGAACAGATCAAGGATCAGAATGACCCCTTTATCTGGCACAGACGTACGTCGGTGGTCCTTTATTTAGGTCAAGGAACTGAATCCTTTTACCTGGGATAGGACCGTGAGCGACAGTTGAGGGAAGGGAGAATTTTTGGTTGAGAATAATTATTTGGAAAACGTGATTGGTTTACAATTATAAACAACTTGTTTTATTAGTGATTAGACGGAAGTTCACAATGAAATAAAATTTGTAAGATTTTATAATGTGTCCGTATACATATGTGGTTAACAATCGCGCTCAGAACAATGATTCTCGATTACTCAGAACAATATTCCGTGTTCGTCTGTCCGACTGTGATCGAAAGGATTGGGCCACTGACGTCTGATTTAACAATTAAGGAGTAATGCCAAGGAGGATAGAAAACGGAAGTGAAACGAAAGGAAAAGAAAAGAGAGAGAAGAAAAGATAAAAAAATGAAACGAAAGAGGTCACTCAGGTAAAAGAAAATATAAGTAACTTACTGCTGGACTTCTCTGATCTTAGTAGATAATGAAAGGTGTGGTTGTTGCGTCTCTGTGAGGATAGATGCCTCAAGTTCTGCGCCAAGGACAGGCAGCTGGTTTCGGCAGGATCGCTCTCAATGGCCCAAGAAGGCACAAGATCGTTGCACCGAATAATTAATAAGTGAAGAATACTGGTCGGTCTAAGCTACAAGTTGGCTTGATTGTTAAGAAACCCTGAAGGGGTGCTGGAGAGAAGCGTCTGTCCTGGGTGCTGGATCGGCGAGAAGTGAGTGAGGCTTTTGACTTTTCTCAAAAAGTCAGCTCGATTGAGAGAGTGAGGTTTTGGAGGAAATGTTCCAGAAGATTATTTTATAGGAGATAAGATGCATGTGGCAATAAGAGAATTTCGAAAGTCTTTTGTAAATAAAAAAAACGTGGCAGCTATCTTAAGAAGTAAATATCGATATTTCTAAGAACGATGTCGTGGTACTGTTATCAATGGTTAAGCGCGTGGGAAACAGGATAGGAGTTGATTCAAGATTGTTAGTATTTTCGGGGTATCGAAAATTCCAGAGATATCGTCGTGTGGTATCATGCCTGAGCGCATTCGGCCATATGATAAGTAATCATAAATTCGATTTCCCTTATTTATAAAAGAAGTCTAGAGTCCGCTGAGTCAGCAGGACGTAACACTTGTTTTAGGCTGAAAACGCGAATATCTTCGAAAATGCACCTGCTAGGGAGCAATGTTACGCATAAGAATAAGAATGTAGAGGTCAACGAGGGACATTCAGCCGTGATCTTGCTCTTATTCCCAAGACCATGAGTTAAGATTATTATTAAGGTCAAACCGGACTTTTTTAGGGCTGAAAATCCATACTTTTGACCTAAAAGTGTCAAGATTGAAAAATTTTACGTTCGGATATGACGTTTTCAACCTTGACCTTGTTCTCAAAATTGTGCGTTTTACGTTACTTCAGGGATCGTGAAGTCTACTGAAAGTAAAGCGTCTCGGAACCCGACCACTGAAGGCAAGATGTCTCAAACCCGATCACTGAAGGCAAGGTGTCTCAAACCCGGCCACATAAGGCAAGGTGTCTCAAACCCGACCACTGAAGGCAAGGTTCAGTTAGTCACGGCCACCGAAGGCAAAGCATCTCGTAATTCGGCCTGAGATTATAAGAAATGTTCAAAATGTTCCTCATTGACCGTTTGACAGTGTGTTTGGCAAGTCAAGGTTGAAAACGTCTGTAATGGCCGAACTCCGCGGTTCGGTCGCTGCTACGCGTTTCGCGCGGATAATGCTCATCGGAGTCTGGATTCGAGGAGGAGTAAAGCAGCGAGACACTTGACAATGGAAATCGAAATAACTTAGCTTGCGGGTTGCGTCTATAAGGCGCGTCGGTACGGTACGGTGCGGTGCGGTGAGCGGTACAAGCGCTCGTACGGATGGATAGGCCGTGCGGAAGGCGGGGCCTATTGTGCGACGCGTGTAGACGGTAACGACGGTAACGGCACGGTGACCGGTTTCGCTTCGCGATGCTGGGCGTCTCGGACAATTATCGCCCAATACTCGTCTCGAAATCGCTCGCGTATAAATGGTCGCCGGACCGAAGATTTCGATTCTCGGTCGAACGCACGCACGCCAGTCGCGGGAGACGTGAAATGATTTCGTCCGTCGGGGTCGAGGACTCTCGACAGAGAAGGCGTACGCACCTTCCCTTTTCCCTACGTTCGCGGAGGAAAGCGACCAAGTGCTGCGGACACTCAGCGGAGACGGCGGACACACCGTCCCGGGTTCTTGGTCGCTAGACAGATCGCCTAAAGGCTGAGTACGCTCAGCAGAGTTCGCCGACGGACGAACCCCTGACTCAAGGCGGCGGGTAAAGGCGAGAGACTGTCGAGTACACTCGACTGAGCACGCGCACGCACGAGCCCAGGAAGACGGGAGACGGCCAAGTATCGAGTACGCTCGATCGAAACTGCCGACGCACAATCCCGTTTGCTTAGTCGCCGGTCGGGTAGTCGGAATACGGAAAGCAGAGCGAAACGGTCCGGATATTCTCTCTTTCGGCATGAAGCGTCTAGATCGAATCGGCGGTACGGATCGGTCTGGTGAAGCTCGATCGCCGCCGTTTTATAGTTGATCGCGCTACGATTGATACGGCGGCGATCGAGCGACGCGCCTATCGGCGCGAGGCACGGTGACGGCGCGTGATCGCGGCCGCGCGCGCTAGCGGCAGCGCGTGATCGCTGCGGCGCGCGATAGCGGCGGCGCGTGATAGCGGCGGCGCGATCGTCTCGGTTCTTTAGGGTGGCGCAATGCGCCGTTCTTCGGGCCGACAGATGGTCGGTCGGGCCGGTAGTAACGAGGTACATCTGCGCCTCGTTACATCACCCTCCTAGCAGAGGGGTCGTCCGGTAGGCGGCGGCTGAACCGGAACTGGTCGTCCGTGTGGAATCGCAGCATCCAGCGTCCCTCTGGTGTTAGGAGGCGATAGCGGCGGCTGATGTGGACGGCCGAGTGGGGGATGAGTTTGTGGACGCCGGGCTCCACCTCGACGAGGTCCGGCGGCGGTGGCCTCGGGCCGACCGGTCGGAGTAATCTCGGTGGTCGGACGGGGGTCGGACCCGAGGGTGGTCGCGTCGTCGGGGGGAGAGGCGTCCCTGCTGCTCGTTGCGGTTGCGGTGGCATCCGTTGCGGCGGTGGTGGCGGCCGGTGCGGCGGTGGCCGTTGCTGCGGCGGCGGTCGTTGCGGCGGCGGAGTCGTCGGCGGCCGTGTGGGGCGGGTGGTAGCCCTTGTAGTTTCTGCCAGTGCCTTTGTCTGACGTCCTCGGCGCCCGGGTGGTAGGGGCAGCGGGAGCCGTAAGCAGCACCGCTTTACGGCGCTGCGTCGTGTCAGACCGCTGTATCCTAGTCCCCCTTGCTGGAACTTGGGGATTCGGTGGCCTTGGCGACGGCGGCGGTGTGCTCGCTGGTGGTAGCGACGGTGACATTGACAGTGACGTCGGCGGTGACGTCGGTGGTGACGTCGGCGGTGGCGTCGCTGGTGGTGGCGACGTTGACGGCGGCGGGGCGGCCGGGGCCCTCTCCTCGTCGTCGGAGAGGGCGAGATCCGTCCAGAGGACGGTGAGATCCTCGATCTCAATGCGAGACTCGCTCATCGGAAAGCTTATGCTTTTCTTAAGCTTGCCAAAAGCTTATCGCGTGGCGACAGCTCGAGAAGATCTGTGCTTCGCTGCTCGAGGCCGTCACTTTATACCCCGGGCCGTTGTTTCGGGTTTCCCCTTCCGGGTCGTCGACCTCCACGTCCTGTGGCTTGTCGTTATTGTTGCTGCATGACTTCAAATCTTGTATGTGTATGTTTCGCAGCCACTTGCCGTTTTTAGCGCGGAGATCGACGATTACTGGCGAGATTATCTTCCGGACTTCGTACGGCCCGGAGTATTTCGGCGCGAGCTTGGCGTTGAAGTCTCGCGCTTTATCCGACAGGGGATGCTCGCGTCGCCATACTGTCTTCCCCATCGTAGGCCGCCAGGAGCGCCGTCGCAAATTATAGTAGCGCTCCTGGCGTTGAAAAGCTCGCGCCAAATTTACACGGACGACCTCGTAAGCGTCCTCGAGCTGCCGGCGGCGACTTTCCGGTGGAGCGGCGGTACTGGTCTCCGGCCAGAAACTCAACTCCCGCCCGCTGAGTAAAAAGCCGGACTGTATCCTGTTGAGTCCTGGACGGCCGAATTGTACGCAAATTGTAGCGCTGAAATGTGGGTGTCCCACTTGCGGTGGTTTTTTCCCACGAACTGAGCGATCATTGTTGATGATTATGCGGTTTGTCCGCTCCACCGGATTACAGTGCGGCGCTTAGATGGGGGTGGTGCGGTGACGGATGCCGTAAGCCCCGCAGAATCTCGCGAACTGCTCGGAACGGAATTGTTTCCCGTTATCGGACACTATTATTTGGGGGCAGCCGTGTCGGTGCATAATGCCCTCAGTGATCGCCTGCTCCACTGCCCCCGTCGTCGCCTTTCGGAGCGGTCGCATCTCTAGCCACTTGGAGAAGCGATCCTGCATAGCGATGACCCACGCGTGGCCGCCGGTTGATCGCGGCAGAGGGCCCATCAGGTCTATGGTGGCCTGTTCCCACGGACCCTTAACCGCGGTGGCGTGCAGAAGGCCCGCGGGTTTGACCTGTGTCGTCTTATAGGCGAGGCAGGTCTCACAGGCCCGGACATGTCGGGCTACGTCCCGGAACATTCCGGGTCAATAATACCGGCGGGCCGCGCGAGCGATCGTCTTCGCTATCCCCAAGTGGCCGACGGTGGGTTCGTCGTGGAGCTGGCGAAGAATCTCGGCGCGTTGTTCTCGAGGCACGCACACCTTCCACTGCTCCTCCGCCGGTGTTTCGCGGAAATCCAGCTCGTGCAGGACGTGGCGGAGGAGCTGGCCTTGCCGGATGGCGTAGTCTGGCCAGGCGGCGGGGTCTGCGACTACCTGTGCCTTTATACGGCGGTACCAGGGGCAACCGTTTTCCGAGATGATGGCGCTTACCTCGGGTCGTCGCGATAACGCGTCAGCGATCGTGTTGAGAGCGCCTCGCCGGTATTGCACCTCGAACTCATACTGTTGCAGTTCGAGGGCCCAGCGGGCCAGTCGCCCGATGGATGTCTCCAGGCTGCGCAGCCACCGGAGGGCCTGGTGATCCGTGACCACCGTGAAACGATAGCCCTCCAGGTAGTCGCGCATTCGCCTTATCCCCCAGATCACGGCGAGGCACTCCAACTCGGTCGCGCTGTAGTTTTTCTCGGCGCGATTTAAGGTTCGGCTCGCGTATGCGATCACGCGTTCGGCCCCTTCCAGCCGCTGCGTGAGGACGGCTCCCAGCCCCTCCGTGCTCGCATCCGTCTGCAGCTGGAAGGGCTCCCGAAAATCGGGGCACGCGAACACCGGTGCCGTGGTCAGCCGCTCTTTTAGTGCGGCCATCGCGGCGTCCTCGTCCGCGCCCCACCTCCACTTCACGTCCTTCCGGGTGAGTCTCGTGAGTGGGGCGGCTAGCGCGGAGAAACCGGGGATGAACCGCCTGTACCACGACGCGAGCCCGAGGAACTGCCGAACCTTTCGCACGGTCGTGGGCGCCGGCCAGTCCGATATTACGCTCACTTTTTCTGGGTCGGTACGGATGCCCTCTCGGTCCACGATATGCCCCAGGTATCTCAGACGGCTCACACAGAAACGACACTTCTCCGTGTTAAGACGCAGTCGTGCTTCCCGGAGCCGCCGGAAGACCTCCCTGAGCCGTGCGATATGTTCCTCGAACGTCCGGCTCACGATAATGATATCGTCTAGGTAGACGAGTACGTGGGGCTCGAGTTCCGGGCCGAGTACGCTATCCAGCAATCGTTGGAACATGGCCGGTGCGGAGTGCAGACCGAAGGGCATTACTCGAAACTGCATTAATCCTCGCTCCGGCACGGCAAACGCAGTCAAGGGGCGGCTCGCGGCCGACAGGGGGACCTGCCAATACCCGCTCCTCAGGTCTAGCGTGGACAGATATTTCGCCCCTCGGAGTTTGTCGAGGGTAGCGGCGACCTGCGGTAACGGGTAGGCATCGGGTTCCGAGACGCTATTTAATTTACGGAAGTCTACGCAGAATCTTCGCGACTCGTCCTTTTTCCGTACCACAACTACCGGCGAGCTCCACACACTGTGAGAGGGCTCGATCACGCGTTCCTGCAGCATCTTCTCGACCTCCTCATCTATTACTCGGTGCATAGCGGGGTTCCGGGGCCGCTGCTTAATGGGGCGTGGGTCGGTCAGTCATATGTCGTGGTGTACCCGGTCCGTCGGTCCCTGCACCTTGTTGAAGAGGCGGAATTCCCATTCCAGGAACTGTTTCAGTCGCGCGGTCTCGTCCGGGGTTCGTGGCGTCAGTCCGTCCTCGATCGTACAGGTCGATGGTTCGGTCTGTGTCGCGTTATTCGGTGCTGGTGGCAGGGTCATCTGTAGTTTGGCCCACAAGTCCACTCCAATCAGCATTGGGCTGCCGAGCTTTGGCAGGACTCGTAGGCCGTGTCTCACGTCTCTGTCCTCCGTTTGTATGTCTGTCGTTATGGTTCCGGCCGTCTGTATTAGTGTTCCGTCAGCCAGTCGTATCGATTCGGGTCGCCTCGACTTTCGGATCGGGACCCCTACTTGCTGGGCAATGTCGGGGCGTATAAATGATGCCTCCAATCCGGAGTCGAGGAGAGCGTTGACGTCACGTCCGTTCAGTCGCACGGTTATGTGGGGCCGCGGTGTGAATCTGATACGCTGTTTCCTCAGGGCCGAGACTCTGGGTGACAGGTCTCGGCCCGTCGGTAGTTTCCCGGCAGCGGGTGGCACTCCCGGGTCAATACTCCGTCCTTTCCACATTGCGAGCAGAATTTCTTCGGGGGGCGCTTACAATCCACCCGAGTGTGCCCCCTCTGTTTGCACCGCCAGCAGCACTCGTCCTTGCTGTACGTGCTGACGGTGGTCGGCGCGACGCGCGACAGTCGAGGAGGTCGGTCCGCTGCAGGGTCTCGCCGGCGGTCGCGTATCTGCCGCTCGATGTCTTCATGCTCTGCGGCTCGCGCACGGAGGTCCCTGATGCTCGTGACATCGTCGATGCGAATGCCCCTCTTGTATTCCGGGTGCATATTTTCATATAGTAGCTCGAGCTGCTCCTCGGGACTCCATCCACCCGCGCGCCGTATGAGCGTTAATACTTCATTGGAGAACCCTCGGAAGGGTTCTCCGTCTCGTTGTACGCGGCTCCGTGCTTCGCGGCGGAGTTGCGCTAGCATTTTGCGCGGTAGGTATTCCGCATGGAAGTCCCTTCGGAAATCCTCCCACGTCGCCCATGTGTGCCGATTGAGACGGTACCACGCGAGGGCCTCGCCCCGCAGCATTTCCGGCAATCCTCGAAGAACGTATTCCCCCGTGTAGCCATAGACTTCGCTGAGTTTTTCGACCCGTTCTAGAAATTTGTGAGGACTCCGTCCGTCGAAGAAGCAACCCCATTTCCTAATTTGGTTCATGGCCTTGGCTATCGGGGGTTCGGGCCCCTCGGGAGGTATGGACAGTTCGGGTGTCTCGTCGCGGACTTCCACCGTCCCTTCATCGGTCTTTGCTGCGGGAGTCGCCGTCCCGTTGTCCTCCTTGAACAACTCCGGATGCCTTCGCACGAACTGACCGAGCCGCCTTCGCAATGCTTCGAATGTCCCATCCGTGTGCAAGTCGTGACGCGACAGCTGCTCGGTCAGCTCCTGTTTCGACAATTTATATACCCACGCCATCGCGATCGGGCCCGTAATTCCTCTTACTGCTTTACTCCTCCTAAGGTCCTTTGTTCGGGCGCCAAATGTAACGGCCGAACTCCGCGGTTCGGTCGCTGCTACGCGTTTCGCGCGGATAATGCTCGTCGAAGTCCGGATTCGAGGAGGAGTAAAGCAGCGAGACACTTGACAATGGAAATCGAAATAACTTAGCTTTATTGTATGCTTACTGGGATACAAGAGTTCGGCCCCGAAGGCGGTGTTGCGGGTTGCGTCTATAAGGCGCGTCGGTACGGTACGGTGCGATGCGGTGAGCGGTACAAGCGCTCGTACGGACGGATAGGCCGTACGGAAGGCGGGGCCTATTGTGTGACGCGTGTAGACGGTAACGACGGTAACGGCGCGGTGATCGGTCTCGCTTCGCGATGCTGGGCGTCTCGGACAATTATCGCCCAATACTCGTCTCGAAATCGCTCGCGTATAAATGGTCGCTGGACCGAAGATTTCGATTCTCGGTCGAACGCACGCACGCCAGTCGCGGGAGACGTGAAATGATTTCGTCCGTCGGGGCCGAGGACTCTCGACAGAGAAGGCGTACGCACCTTCCCTTTTCCCTACGTTCGCGGAGGAAAGCGACCAAGTGCTGCGGATACTCAGCGGAGACGGCGGACACACCGTCCCGGGTTCTTGGTCGCTAGACAGATCGCCTAAAGGCTGAGTACGCTCAGCGGAGTTCGCCGACGGACGAACCCCTGACTCAAGGCGGCGGGTAAAGGCGAGAGACTGTCGAGTACGCTCGACTGAGCACGCGCACGCACGAGCCCAGGAAGACAGGAGACGGCCAAGTATCGAGTACGCTCGATCGAGACTGC